AAAAACACTGTTTACTTCCCATAATGCCCTAAATGTTTATACCATTCAAACTCCACATCCTCAGACTGAAATTAAGCAATATTACACAAGAGTTTACGCAAGGGCTTTGGTCCTGACCGCATCACAGTCAATGCCACTAATGACGTTAAAGCACACCCTTTTATAATATTGCAATAATACAAGTATTACCAACAAAATAAAATATACTATCTATCTGTATTCGTGTTGAGCGACAGTTAGCTTTTGAAATAAAAAACTGTGCAACTATGGTCTCCGTTTCCATGGAAACTAATATGATGACTAGTAACTGGTAAACAGTCAGTCACGTAGACTCTTACATGCAGCAGAGTCCTGCACAGGTCTATTTTTGAAAACCCACACCCGCTCAGTACCAGAACCAACCAGTTACCCGTCATAATGTCTAAGTCAAAGCCGCACTGCCTGCACCAGTCCGTACCCTTTAATAAAAGTCCTACGACCCAACCCACACCCATGATTAAGCACACACAGGCTACAGTCAAGCTGTGTTCTCCATTCTTGAATTACAAATCCAGCAGATAAAAAAAGTCTCTCTCACTGGCTGCGCTCGGTGCTGGGAGGATGAAAACATTGTGCACAATCACTGCCAGGTTAGGAATCATTTAAGCATGCTCCTTCCACCACCATAAAACCTCAGAAGGATCCTCCTTGGGTGTCTTGAACTCAGTTTAGGCTGCCACCTCATAATTGGGCTGCAAAGTTTGATGGCTGGAGTCCTCCACGTTGGTGATGAATGTGACGACAGGGTCAAAGGTTCAACTTCTGTCAATGACTTTCAAAATAAAAGGAATTACAGCTTGATAATATCAATTTAGATGTCAAAATATTACACATATACTGCACATCTTTTTCATTTGTTTTATTCTGAAAAATAAAAAACATATTTTTGTTTTCACCTGCTCCCCATCCACATGTAGTTCATTTTTACCTGTGGCCAGGAATCTAAACAGTTTTTATTTATTTTATTTTTTTAACCTGTTACATAGCTTTTTACAGGTTACCTGTGGGGTACACGATGAGTGCCATAGGATGGCAAACATTTCCGATAAGTCAAGCATTGTAACATCCAAAACTCAAAATGAACTGAAAATTTTTTTTTGATGTAATCATTTCCAAAATTCACAATGTTTTTATCAAATAAAATATTCTGCTTCAAACCATATCCATATCCATATGACGTTTATTCTTTAAATTTTTCACTGTGGTCATACTCCGGCTGTCTGCACTCCAGGGAGGCACACACCTGCACTGACAAACAACACCATCAATTATAATCATTAAAGAAAGCTGACTTAATAAAACATAAAACAAACTAATTTATTTAAACCAACCAGTCACCTAGCCTTTGTATGTATGTATGTTATATCTTCAAATGCACTGTTTAAGTTCAAGTTCCAAAATAGTTTTATTTAAGTTAGTTATTCTATAAATGTTATTTAGTCCAGGGGCCAAGGCAGATTTTGGTATCACTTAAAGGGACCAAACAATTTTGGTATTTTTGACTTCCTCTATGTCTCTAGTTTACATTTTGGTATGATGGACCTGCCTATGTAGTAGCTTAATAAAAAATTTTGGATGATCTTTGGGTCCTCCCCAAAATTGACCCCACTTGCTCCTTTCTGCAACACACTTGCTCCTGCACACTACACACTATTTCATACATAAGACACTTAGTTCAAAAATGAAATCTCAGGGTACCATTGGGAAAACACATCTATTCAAAATACAACACACATTGGTTAATTGAAAATACTTAGACACACACCTGAAAATACTTACTTACAAAACTGAACACCAATCAGCCAGCTACAAAAAGGCCTCAGTTAAGCCATTTTGAGAACTTTGCAAGCATGGAGGCAGGGAGAGCTAGAGCAGAGGAAGAGGAAGACAGAGAGAGAGAGAGAGGAGGACGTGGTCGAAGAGGCCATGCAAGGACCATTATTTCGGATGACATAAGAGAAACTTTGGTGGACCATGTCATAAACCATGGCCTGACCATGAGGGAAGCTGGGCAGAGACTCCACCCTAATCTAAGCTGTTTCACAGTTTCATCCATAATAAGGACATTCCGACTGGAAAACAGGTATGTCTTCAGCTCTCTACTCTACTCAGACTGTATCTAGAGTATTTACAGTACTGTACCATATCACGTTACTGTATCACATGTACTGTACTGCAGGGTGGCTAATGCTCCTTTTCGAACAAAAGTGGTAGTTTTGTGAAACATACCGTGATAACGTTTTGAGATGTTTCAGTACTGTGTATGGTAAATACAGGAAAGTACAGTTATATACAGTATTGTAAAAAAGAAGCAAACAATAACAATTTGTGGTTGCATTTTTCTACAGAATGGCTAGAAGGCCTACTGGAAGTGGACGCCAACGCCTGTTCACCCAACAGCAGGAACTTGCCATAGTGAACCTAGTCAGAGCAAACAATGCAATCCGTCTCCACCAGCTACAGCAACAAATACTTGCAGATAGGCAAGTATTCAACAACATAAATCAAGTAAGCATTACCACTATCAGACGCATCTTGGTAAAGCACAACATGACCATAAAGCAATTGTACAGGGTCCCATTTGAGAGGAACGGTGTCAGGGTCAAGGAACTTCGACATGAATATGTACAGGTAAGTGTTATAGTCTTTTACAATACAGAATGGGTGCAGTCCAGTAACAGCTGATATGTACCACTGGATCAGTACCACATAGATACATTAAGAAAGCTACACAGGTACCTGTGTGGTGGGGTGGGGCGGTTCCGTATGTGTAGTAGTGTAGTTGTGTGCTTTGAGTAAAGCCATCCACAATATGTATTTTTTGTTACAGAGAATCTTGGACATGGATGGAGCTGCCCAGCCTCATGAATGTATTTACATTGACGAGGCTGGATTCAACCTTAGCAAAAACAGATGACGGGGACGTAATATAATTGGCCAAAGGGCAATTGTTCACGTTCCGGGGCAGCTCGGGGGAAATATCACATTGTGTGCTGCCATAAGTCTTCGAGGGCTACTGCACCATCATGCCAAACTGGGTCCCTATAATGCACAACACATAATCACATTTCTAGATGCACTTCATGATGCAGTTGTACAGGATAGACCAGAGCAGCCCAGGTTTGTTGTTGTCTGGGATAATGTTAGTTTCCATCGGGCTGCTCTTGTCCAGAACTGGTTCACCAACCATGATCAATTTGAAGTTGTGTACTTGCCCCCTTACTCGCCATTTCTAAATCCTATAGAGGAATTCTTTTCCGCTTGGAGATGGCGCGTATATGACCGCCAACCACATGCCCGTATGCCTCTTCTGCAGGCAATGGAACAGGCCTGCAGAGACATTGAGGTAAGGTCAGTCCAGGGATGGATTCGGCACACAAGGGGATATTTTCCCCGATGCTTAGCGAGAGAAGACATTGCTTGTGATGTTGATGAGATCCTGTGGCCAGACCCCAACAGACGGCAGGATCCATAAGCCCACTTGCGCACAATTGTGTTTTTCTGTGTTTACAGTAGTGTATTGTTTGTTTTATTTTTGCTTTAACTGAATTTACTGTACTGTAAAATACACTACTGTAATGTAATGATTTTGAATTGAGTATTTCATTTTTTGGTTGTTGTGAAAACGTGCCTTCTGTGGAACTGAATAAAAACAGTGAAAACGAAAGACTGCAGTTTTATATAAAGTAGACTAGTGTGTTGCTGCTGATCTGAATGTGTATTCATATGATGCAAGTGGGTATCATTTTGTCATCAGAGTGACATTTTGACAAAGGATTGTTAGGTTTTGATAGCAGAGTTTCAATTTGACATAGATGTGAATGGTTTCTTTCCCAGTGTTGTGTCTTATTTGCTTGTGTGTAGAGTTTTGACACAATGAGCCAAGTTTTGCGAAACGTGTTCAAGCAATGGGCAAAAACTGTAACAAAATTGGTGCATATTTAAATAAAATATTTCAGAAAATTTGTAATACAAAAAATACTTGTCTTAATATGAGTGATCAACTGGGCAAGTTACATGGGGATATCTATTAGTTAATTTTTCGCCCTATTTGTAGTGTTTTGCCTACACGGGTGTAAATTTGTTTACATAGTGATAACTATAATTAAGCTACTAGATAGACAGGGCTATCATACCAAAATATAAACTAGAGACCTGTAGAGTGATAAAAATGCCAAAATTGTTTGATCCCCGTGGATGATATGGGCCTACCAAGTTGTGAAAACGATCCTTTTACTAATAGGGCCCCATTCTATTTGTCTGTTTGAAGTTCTGGCTGCATTAGTTACCTGTCGGGCTGGTGACATCAGATGGTGAGGTGAATATTCTAATAACCTACTCTTACGATACGATGACATTGTTTGGCACATATAAATGCAATTTTGGGGTGATTGGCTTATTTACATTAATAATGGCAAACACATATACATGCCTTTTGGATTTTTTATTCCTTATTCCATGTCCGCCTGTAATTCATGTGTGTTTAGGTGTATACATTTTTTAAAAGGAGCAAGGTACTGATGAAATCCTAGCTGCATTGTGTGCAGCAACTGTCTGTGAACATTCAGTCCAAATTTGGTGACATTCTGATCATTATTTCCCAAGATTCATGTGATAAGGCAGACACTGTCCCTTTTGGAGAAGCCTCAATTTTGACTATTTTCAATTCTGGGGAGGACCCAAAGATCATCCAAAAAATTTTATTAAGCTACTACATAGGCAGGTTTATCATACCAAAATGTAAACTAGAGACATAGAGGAAGTCAAAAATACCAGAATTGTTTGTTCCCTTTAAGTGATACCAATTTGTGAAAATTAGCCCCTTGGCCCCTGGACTAATTCTAGTGTAACCACTGCATCTGCTTCCAGTCTATCTTTTGTAAGTAGTGCTAGCAACTAGTGATATGTAAAGTATTTTTGAGTGTAGACCAACTAAGCATTTTGTGTTTGTTTCCTTGTAGCACAACATAATGCTGCAGAGGAGAAGAGACGGTGTGAGACCTGACATGCCCACTGCTGCAGAGAGGCAGGAGATGCTAACTGCTATCGGAGGCAAACCTTACTGAGAGTCAGCAGGGTCACACAGACACTGTGAAGAGCAGTGGGCCCAAGCCAGTACATTCTGATGATGCCACCACATTGCATTGGCCAGGTGTATACTGTGATGCAAGGCCTGACCTGTCACAGAGACAAGATACAAGATTCTTTGTTGAGGTTTATTAATAATATGACATCAGCTGTTACAGCTTGAAAAAGTTAAAGAGCTTTTGAAGATTTTTTGTTTTGGTTTAAAGTAAAAAGTCCTGTACATGTATTATTATGGTATCACTAATCTGATTTTTCACTGATGTCACACCTGCTGAGATCCTGGTATGTGTTGTTGTCATCATGAATATTCAAGGAGACATGACTGAACCCATGGGTTCAAATATATGATCTGTTTCAAGGACTACTTCATCTATGAAATATAAAGCAAGCTGGGCACTAACTCAACTTACCAACATGGTGAAGTGTGCACATTGTGATGGGCATCTATCATCTGTCTGTCCTCAATAAAAATGAATTATTTAGATTTATTTGCCACCCCTTTCTGTTTCTGTAGATCATACTTCTTGCGATGTTTTGTTTTTGTTTAATCCTCATACATGAATTCTGTCCTGTGTCATTCTAAGTGTGACTCCATTACACCTCACTGTCAGTATCACCAAAGTGCTGTCAGAGAACCAATTAACCATGTGTTTTTAGGTTGATGATCATTGCGCCAGGCCAGTTAAACACATTTGTTTCCGATCTCTTATATTGGAAACGGATATGTGAACCTATCCTTTAAAACAATAAACAAGAACTGTCAAAATGTGTCACTATTTTTCTGTAATCATTTATTTATTGTAAAGAATCAAGTTATTAAGCATTGTTGTCATGTACATCATCACTTAACAAATTATATTTACATTTTCACACAGCTGTGTGTGTTAAGAAACATATATCATAATGACTGTACAAGATACAGGTGAAGCCTAAAACAGGGTTCCTGCAGATCCTATAAAAGTCTAGAAGCCATTAAATCCATTAATTTAAAAAGAGGCCTTAGTTATATTCATTATAACATAACTCACCAAATGTTTCTTGCGATTAAGTCTTGCAGATCAGGATAGTGGAACCAACAACACTCATGTTTATTTTCTGGCAGGGATGCTCAGAGCAGAGGATCCAGTGTCTGCTAGGGACAGGGAGAAGTGCAAAGTAAAGAAAAATTGACCATTGAACTAAGATTTTGTGGCATGGCTGGAGGTCATAAGTGATGACAGATTGGGATTACTTCTGTATGAGTGTATACTTTGTATTTCAGAAAAAATCGCGAAACATATTATTTGATAAAATACAGGACAGTTTTATCAATCTCTTCTACATTAGAAGATCCACGTAGTTTTGTTGGACAAAAATCCTTTATGGTGATTGTGAGATGGAAATCAAGGCAGTGGAGTTCCACATGCTAAGTGAGAAAGACAAAATGTAGGTAACTGTAGGAACCCTGTAAAAGTGGTCCCACCCTCAGGTAAATTTGGAGAACAGACTGGCTATATTGTATTGAATGCAGAGGAAGTCTATAAACAGCACTCTGGCATATGGCTTTATCTTCTTTGTGTCCTGTTTGATAAAAACGTGCATGAGTGTAGCAACAGCATCTTAAGCGCTGCGCTCTTACTTGTATGGTTCTAGTTTATCCTGTATAGACTGACCAATGAGTGTCTGAATGGTGATCCTCTCCAGCCCATTCTCACTCCAAAGTTGAAAAATCCTGCTAAAATCCACTTTTCACAGTGGTATGATATGCTGTCAGGCAGCGTCAGTTCATAACACACCCAGAGGGAACCTAATACACCAATGGTCATCTGGGCAGCACCAGTCATATTTTTTACTAAACCAAACCATGTGCTTTTATTGATGTCCTGGTGTTAGTTTTGGCATCCTGGAACATCAGCAACAGACACAGCAGGATATTTAGGCATAGTATGTAGATGTGAAAGTCCACTGACAAAGCAGCGATGTGTGACAATTTGGGATGGAAACTTGTTCTCTCTTTTGCTTCAATTAATACAGAGGTTAGGGTCACATGTCTAAAGTCATTGCGCTCATTGTGGCATGGTCTGTTAAGGATTGGAATGGTGTGAAGGTTTCCAGACTGCAGGGACAGTGTGTGGTGTGTATAGTGAATGCTGGAAAATGAGCTGCCACACTGGGGCTAGCTCCTCAGTGTATGTCCTCAAAATAGAGGCATTGATGCTGGCAGGGCCAGTGGACTTCCGTGCATCTGTTAGTGCTCCCACCTGTTTCAGTACAAGTGATCAAGGTGAATTGTTAATTTCCAGAGGCCAGATCATCATTAGACACAAATGACTCACAATGTTTATGTGGCATACCTGTCATTTTTTCCTTATTTTCCAAGTTTTTGATAAGATAAACTTTATTGTCCCTCAAGGGAAATTCGTCTTGGGCAGTATAGTGCAAACAGCTGCAATATTCACATACATACATACATACATACATACATACAATCAACACAGACAAGTTGCCAACATAGTGCGCTGACTGTGTTACAGTTGCAGACTACTGTTGCAAGAGTAGTGCAACCGTTTCCCTTGTTTGTAAGGTTACAAACAAGGGAACTACAGGTATTGCACTGGCCTATCTCAAAGTGCAAGTGAGTGCATATAAAACAGATAAATACAGGGGTCAAATAAAAACACCAGTAAAGCAGGGTCTCCAGCCTTGAATACCTCCTCTTCTGTGTGCATCCTTTGCTGTCCTGAGTTTGCCTCTCAGCGCCTTGTCTCTGTTTTGCAGCTCCATGGTGTTCTTGCTTTTAATAGCTAATTTTCTTAGGTTAATGTCTTTGCTAATGTAGATTTTGCTATTGTTTTGCTATTATTATTATTATATTTTTATGGGGATGATAGACTGTACACAGAAGTCGGTGTAATCTGTTGTCACTGTGCATTTTGTGCCTCCCAGTTTGTGCAGTCAAAGCAGGCTCCTAACTGATCTTTGTTACTCTGAGTCCACTGTTGTACCACCTTGTTCTCAGGGCTTTCTGCTCTTTAACTTGGTTTTATAGGTTGGGATAAGATGCACCATCATATGGTTCTTGTTCCACATCTCACAACCTGCTGAAATCCTGGCAGCTCCAGGTTGCAGCTGTTGAGATATCCCAGAACAATGGCAGGGGCATCAGGGAATTGCTGTTGCAGATTGTGCACACATTCTGCTATTGAAGCAGCGGCAACTTTGCCAAATGCAGCCATATTCTCGGGGAGATATAAAGGTCTCAACCCAGTGCAAAGAATGAACCAAAATTTGTTCTGAAAGAAGTTACTCTAAATACTACATTGCTATGGTTGCCAGCATTTGACACAATTGACCATCAAATTCTGCTACAGAGACTGGAACATTTAATTGGCCTAAAAGGTTCTGCACTAAGCTGGTTTAAATCTTATTTATCTGATCGTTTTCAGTTTGTTCACATTCATAATGAATCATCCTTACGTACTAAAGTTTGTTTTGGAGTTCCGCAAGGTTCTGTGCTCGGACCAATCCTATTTACTCTATATATGCTTCCTTTAGGTAACATCATTAGAAAATCACTCTGTAAATTTCCATTGTTATACGGATGATACACAGTTGTTGTATCTATCAATGAAGCCAGAAGAAAGTAATCAATTACCTAAACTTCATAACTGCCTTAAAGACATAAAAACCTGGATGAACACCAATTTCCTGATGTTAAATTCAGACAAAACTGAAGTTATTGTTCTTGGCCTCAAACAACTCAGAGACTCTTTATCTGATGACATAGTTTCTCTAGATGGCATTGCTCTGGCCTCTAGCACTACCGTAAGAAACCTCGGAGTAACATTCCATCAAGATTTGTCTTTTAATTCTCATTTAAAACAAACCTCATGGACTGCATTTTTTCATCTGCGTAATATTGCGAAAATTAGGCCTATCCTGACCCGAAAAGATGCAGAAAAATTGGTCCACGCTTTTGTTACCTCAAGGCTGGATTACTGTAACTCTCTATTTTCAGGTAGCTCTAGTAAGTCCTTAAAAACTCTCCAGCTAATTCAGAATGCAGCAGCATGTGTACTAACAGGAACTAAGAAACGAGATCATATTTCTCCTGTTTTAGCTTCTCTGCACTGGCTCCCTGTAAAATCCAGAATTGAATTTAAAATCCTACTGTTAACTTATAAAGCTCTAAATGGTCAAGCTCCGTCATATTTTAGAAAGCTCATAGTGCCATATTATCCCACCAGAACTCTGCGCTCCGGAGAATGCAGGGTTACTCGTGGTCCCTAAAGTCTCCAAAAGTAGATCAGGAGCCAGAGCCTTCAGCTATCAGGCTCCTCTCCTTTGGAATCATCTTCCTGTTGCGGTCCGGGAGGCAGACCCCATCTCCACATTTAAGACTAGACTTAAGACTTTCCTCTTTGATGAAGCTTATAGTTAGGGCTGGCTCAGGCTTGCCCTGTACCAGCCCCTAGTTTGGCTGACTTAGGCCTAGTCTGCCAGAGGACGCCCTATAATACACTGGGCACCCTCTCTCTATCTCTCTGTCTCTCTCTCTCTTGTGTCCTATTACTGCATCTCTCTCTCTCGGCCATTCTGGATGTCACTAACGCTTCTTCTCCGGAGCCTTTGTGCTCCACTGTCTCTCAGGTTAACTTGTATTGCAGTGGTGCCTGGATAGTGTGACGTGTGTGGTTGTGCTGCTGCCATGGTCCTGCCAGATGCCTCCTGCTGCTGCTGTTATCATTAGTCATACTTCTACTGTTATTATACACATATGATTATTGTCACACATGTATACTATCAGATATTAATATATACTTTCAACATATTGTACCGCAGTAACCAGAACTATAATTATAATATCATTACTTTCATTAATGTTGTTGTAAGCTACTGTCATTACTGTCTGTCCTGCATCTCTCTCTGTCTCTGTCTCTCTCTCTTTCTGTCTCATTGTGTCATACGGATTAATGTTAATTTATTATGTTGATCTGTTCTGTACGACATCTATTGCATGTCTGTCCTTTCTGGAAGAGGGATCCCTCCTCTGTTGCTCTTCCTGAGGTTTCTACCATTTTTTTTCCCCGTAAAAGGGTTTTTTTTGGGGAGTTTTTCCTTATCCGCTGTGAGGGTCCAAAGGACAGAGGGATGTCGTATGCTGTAAAGCCCTGTGAGGCAAAATGTGATTTGTGATATTGGGCTTTATAAATAAAATTGATTGATTGATCTGTCTGTTAAATGCAAAACAATTTATCTCAGGTGTCAAAATCACTATGATCAAATAAAGTATGTGCTGACAACACCATTAGTTTCCTAGTTTGATATGAAGTGTCCCTCACAGAGTGTGAAGGGCTTAATTACCTTGTGACTGGATGGCGATAGCTTGTAGTAGCATTATTATCTTAACTGGTGTGATTGACAGAAAAGGCCAAATTTGTATTATTATTTATACACATATACTGTATACGGGGCATTCTACCGAATGTGTGCAAAGTTGGGCTGGAAATATTTTGAAATTTTGTATGTTTTATTTCCAAAACTTTGTCCCTATATATATTGTACCATATGTAAAGGTCACATATCTAGTAAAATGACTGTAAATTTTTATATTGTATTTTCAGACTGTTTTGGAATGTTTTTCCTCTCCCAAAATTTGTCACTACTGAAACATATAGTGTTATATTATACAAAAAAAAATATATCAACCTGTTATGCTTGTTCCTTCCCTTGTTTAAAGATTTAAATTTTTACNGGAATGTTTTTCCTCTCCCAAAATTTGTCACTACTGAAA